CTTTAATACGATGGAGATACTGTGATGTTGGTGAGCCTGTTGGAACGTGTGGTATGTGAAACATTTTGAATTCTTTCAACAAAAACATGATCGTGACGTTTTAAAGTGCACATCCTTCTCATGTTTTTGATCAACACAGTAAATTGAATCGCAAATTACATTGAAATAAGTATAAATATGCATTCGATAAACAGTAGATTAGTGTTTTCATTTACGATTGTATGGAGTAAAGGTACTGCAGTATGGTTCTTTTTTAATATTTGATATAGTATTTAATTAAAAGTTACCAACACAAATTTCACATAGTGAATTTGAAATATGAAAACAATTCGCATTAATTCGAAGTTTCAAATTTACAATAATGTAACTCTGATTTTTCTACAAATGACTAAATTTATAAACAGAATTACCATGTAAACCGATGACTCGATTTATTAGTAGATATTGTAAAGTAATTCTGCATTATTATTATAATTGTGTATGAGCGAACGTTTGGGTTCAGTGTCAGAAATATATTCCAGGCAATTTAAATAAATGCAGTTGTTATTTCGGTACTTTCAATACTTTAGAACTTAGTTTGACTCAGGTAATTTTAAATGTGTGAACAGAAGCAAATGCGTTTGGAAAAAATACAGTTCTTTTTTTTATTTCGGAATACAAATTTCCATAATTGTTGGTGTATAACAATAGGTTATATGCATACAATATATATATATGTTTCAACTCGATTTATATTGCTACCAAGTAATGAATAAATTATCTTTATGGCACATCATTAGGTACAACGTCACAACCGCATTATACAACTGAGCAACAAACTTTGACAGTAACAGAGGCTACTATACAAACCGAAGGTATGTATCAGCGTGTGTGTGTGCATAGTTCGGGTCATTTGTAGTATATTTAGCTGATTGTCAATTTGGTTTTCGACCTTGATTGGCAGTGCGAAGAATATGAAATTGAGTGAGGATATATAATGATATATTTATTCATAGTATCTAATAAAACAAGTGTATTTTTCCATCAATGACTATCATCGATTTGTTTTGACGTGTTCTGGATTCCGTGAAATTCATATTACAAATTATAACAAATATGCAGTGTTTATATATTTCATGCAAACTCGAAACATTGTTTAGAATATAGATATCCGATGGATTTGCAAAGTTAAGGGTATATTGATCGTTGTCAATTTGCCCTGCTGTGCACAGAACGCTTGATCATGAAATCAGCGCTCACAAAAAATAAACATTATTGTGTTAGCCGTCTGAGAGGCATATATTTATAAATATTAAAGATTATGGGCGTATGTGACCCGATGAAAAATAAGCCTTTTCTCTACCTGCCTCTATGCCACATATACTGTATTACCCCGAATTGTTTCATGTGAAAGAGAATCGATATGCCCTCGCTTCTTCCATGCAATGACAGTTCGCGTAAATTGTGTTCAGTTGAGTAATTAATGATGAAATTTTAGTATTACATA